CCTCTCCCGCCATGGACAATTTCATCACTTCTCTTGTTTGTTAGTTTAGTTTTGTCCCTCCTTTTTAATTTTGATGTCTCTTCAGGATTCTGTATAACACTCAGCGGCCAAATCAGGCCATCAGGGAATATTGTACAACCACGCTAAATAAAAAAACAGATGAAAAGGTTTAAGAATACATATATGTTTATATCTGCTTATACGTACGGTCGGGCTTCAAAAGGCTGAAGCTGACTTCACTGCAACCTCAACGGTGCAACATTGACCTCTGCGACCTCGGACTGCGTACGCAGAAACGAGCTCTTCCTCCTCTTCCTCCTCCTCTTTGTCCACAGCTTTCAGAAGCACACTGTTTTTGGAAGGTTGGGATGCTGAATTTTAGTCGAAGAGCCCCCCCCCCCCTCCAACTCTTTATTTCTTTATTTCCTCACCATATCAATGCCAACAGTTAAGTCCCCACTGTATTTCAGATATGTATTAAACTCACTTTATTTGTTTTTGGTTTTGTGTTTTTGTTTAAAAGAAGAGAGAGAATCAGATGGTTGCCACGTGTCTGCCCGCCCTGGTTATTATGTACGTTTTAAACAAAAACGGACAGGATGCCATTTCACCACTTGTGCCACTTTTTGGGCGCTTCTGTTTGCCTCAGTGTTTTGGGTGCGATCTGAAAACGGGAGGGCAGAGGTGGAGATGTACTCATCGCCTCTGACTAAGCGGTTCTCCATTGTTAGTTCCTAGCACTAGTGTGGTATGCTAGTAACCAAACAATTTGTATGGTTTTGATTTGGTTTTGATTTTTTTGTTTTCTTTTTTTTTGACTCTTATAAAGACATTTTCAAAAATAAATATTTTGTATTTTAAGGATTTTTGTCTTGTCTCTTGACGTGGTGACTTTAATGGTCCACTCGGCTGTGTTTGTTTAACCGTGTGAGGGAGAAGACGGGATGTTTACGTGTTGCAGAGTGTCTTTGAAATGTGACCCAGAAATAAATGTATGAAATAAAATCAGAGGACAAGTCGAAGGGAAGGTTTCTACATCGGGAACCGGTTTTATTTTTGGACACTATGAAATACAGAATTCACCCGGGAGTCTCTTGCTATTTGTCACTAATTTGAAAAAGCAACTCGCATCAAAGGGCATTAAATCAGTCAAACGGACAGCTTTGGATCGTCTTTTATTTTGATTTGTACACAAACAGCATGATAATGACCCCACATGTAAATTGAGCTAATCAGAGAAGTTCTCTCACATGAGGGGGTGAGCTGCACCGTAGTGCAATCTCCCGAAACGTTATTGGCCGACAGTCTACTCTGCGAAAGTGAAACATTTGCGCCCCCAGCGGTCAAAGTCTGCGTTAATTGAAGAATGTGTAATGTCGCCATCAAGTGGTCAATTTATATCGGTGGAACCAACAACTGTAGAATGGATATTTGCTCTCTGAAGTTGTCAAACTGTGGTATCAGCAGCAGAATCATGTACCACTATCTACTCCAAGCACATGTTAGTTTGTGCATCACAATGACTTCTTTCATGATTATTGTCATACATGCACCACAATACACAAGATCTGGAAACAGAAATCTGCACATTGGTCCACCAGCTGCTAGACGTGTCCCTTCATACCTAAAGATCTTTAAGACTGTTTACAGGAGAGAGCGTCAATGGAGTCCCCACCACCGGAAAATATGCACACAAGATTCCCACGTGTGGAATCGAGTCTAGAACACACCTCACCTCCTTTCAACGTAGATGTTGCGACACTTGTCATCTGGATTGATTCCATGTGTGTAAAATTGTCCCTTTCAGATTGTAATTAGCTATTTATTGCGATACCTGTTGAAGTTATAATAGAATGGCGCTAAATAGAGAATCTCAAGTGTATGTGTCGGCAAATGCTACATAATGCATGTCATTTATTCAGGTCTTTTTTTCAATAAAATACATCTTATTTAAAATCAAAATTATACAGAATTATATATAGATGTGAGAGAATGCCGTTTGTTTATATTTGTCTTTTTAAATTCCCTTATGACACCTGGGAGGCTAATTAGAAATAGTTTCATATTTTCTGAGGCTGTTTAATGTTTATGTTAAAATGATCTGATATTGTAATTTAGGCATGTGCACTGACATGCAAGTCATCTGGAACTCTATATATCCGTGTCCCTATTGTTGATGACAACAAACACACCCCTGTTGCATTCATTAATTGATATTCCACAACTCGATGTAACTTTAACACTTTATTGAATACAGTGCATGAAATGGAGAACAATCAGAAAAAAACAGTGCAGTCATAAAAAAGAAGACTACAATATGTACACGAAGATCTTAACTATTTACAATGTGCACGAGTATTTACAGGAAGATCTAAACTATTTACACATATACATATACAGGGTGTCTACAGCTCATCGCTCCAACAGAAGTAAAGTGTTCGTAGCTGTCGTACACTGTGTGGTCCAGACCTTTTGATGTGGACATCATATTTACAGGGCAGAAAGCCTTTCTGTTGTACTTTTTATGTCCCTGGGTCGGTTGGCCACAGCATGTACAGACAGGGAGATTCTGCACTCGTGACACCTTCACTCTTACTACAGAGGGCTGTTCCAGACGATACAGTGATTTATGTGCAGGCAAAGAACAAAGAACAAGCTGCACTTAAACTCACGTCCACAATGACAAATGTAACTAAATGGCTTGCAGATTCCTGCCTTCACCTGAATGTTAAAAAGACTGTTTGTATGTTCTTCACAAAGAGGGCTTGCAAAGTGTCACTGGAGCCAGATGTTTATGTTGCTGGTGAGAGGCTACAGGTAGTGTCAGATTTTAAATATTTAGGAATTTTTATTGATTCTAATCTCTCTTTTAAAAAACAGGTAAAACATGTGACAAATGTCTTAAAATTTAATCTCATGAATTTTAGATATATCAGACACTGTCTAACCATGCAAGCTGCAAAATTGTATTTTAATGCAATGATTATCCCCCATCTGACCTACTGCTTAACCAACTGAGCACAAGCCAGCAGCACAACATTAAAATCCATTCATATTCTCCATAAACAAGCCCTAAAAACACTTGATAAAAAACCCAAAAGTCACCATCACTGCAATATTCTCACCAAACACCATATCCTCAGTTGGGAGAGCATCATTAAATTCACTGATGTGTGTCTGGTTTTTAACATTGTACATGGTATGGCCCCGCCTCCACTTAGTGATTTTATTAAACAAAGCACTCAAAGCAGCAGACTCACTAGGTCTGCTTCAAGAGGTGATTGTGTCATTCCACATAGGTCAAGCTCGTTTAGTAAATCTACATTCTCTGTGAAGGCAGCTCACTCGTGGAATGCTCTGCCACCACACATACGCACACAAAACACGTACCAAACATTCAAGCATGACTTCAAGAAATGGCTTGTTGCCAATTAGGTGTGCAAGCATTGATGTGCTGTCTGTCCTGCCTGCTTGTTTCATCTATGTGTGCATTTGTCTTGTTCAGTGTTGCTATTTTCCATTTTTTTGATGTGTTTGTTAAGTGCTTCAGTGTTATATGTGCTTGTCCTGTAGGTGGGTCTGTTTTGCGTGACGCATGCTGAAACCCGTTATGTCTGCTCTGCTTTAATGTCGTACAATTTTCTTTTGCTGTTTATTGGTTTTGTCTATACGTTGCTGTCTGTTTCTCTATGAATTTCAATTTGAGATTTTGTTATTTTAGGCTGCCTTGAAACATCTGGCCGGGCACAGCAGATGGAAATTAGCCTCTCTGGCTAACTCTGGCTCACTTACAGTGCAACTGTTGATTAGTGTGCATTGTCCCTGAAAAATAAATAAATAAATAAAAAATAAAGAAATAGATCAAATAATCAGAAGATCAATCGATTGAAAATAATCATCAGATCATTGTAGATCCCAAAAACCAGAGTGAGGAAATGTATTCACACTTACTCATCGTATTTCAGAGACAGTAAGTCAGGAGTTATTTTGGACTCTGACCTTAACTTTGAAAGTCATGTCAGTAACTCTTTCTCACTTTAAAAACAAATCAATAATTGGGAGGATTTATATATCAAGCCATTTCTTTTAAGAAACTACTTGTTTCGACATAGTATAGTATGTCGAAACTACTTGTTTCGACATAGTATAGTATGTCGAAACAAGTCATAGTAAATGTAGTTCATGTTACCAACTACCAAGGAGGGCTACTGTAATGCTCCCTAACCCCAAACATAAAACTGTAGTTACTGTCTGTGTCTGTATCCGGGTTCTTTGCTTTTTTTGGGTGGAAGGGTGTTTTACACGTGCCTTTTGATGTAACACACACTGAGTTTACTTATTAATAAATTTGCTTCATGAATAAAATGTCCTTGCATATTACTAAAAATATCAAGTATGTCCCAAACTAAAACTACACCCTACAGATTTCAGGAGACAAATGAAAGTCCAAAGACAACAGAGAGGTGCTTAGATTTGCTGGATCAGCTGCCATTTAAAAGATATGAATTGAACATATCTCCTTTTCCCTCGCTTAGTCATCAAGTTGCCCTCTACCTGCTCGAGAAGGCAATACCGCAATATAATTGACAATTAAAAAATAATAACCATGGAGGAGAGAACATTGAAACTGGAATGCATAAGGATAAGACTGTTATTGTATTTATATTCTAAGGATTTTGATTGATTGAATAATTTAATAGCACATCAAAAATAACAATAACATAAATAATAAAAGAATATGCATGGGAAAAAGCCTAAAATGCTCTCATGGGTCTACTCCAGTTTTGATTAAAACAATCAAATCAAATAAACTTAAGTGATTAAAAAATGATTTTATTAAAAATTGTAAACAGTGACAGGGATCTGAGCTGTTTACTATTGTCCCACATGTTGCAATATATACACTAGACATTTATAAATGGACATATTAATAATACACATATGATAATATTGTGTAAATAATCGAGCGCCTCTTCATTTATTTTATACGAACAGTTATGGTTGAAATATGAATTTCACTGACAGCATTATTTCACTGACAGCATTATTATGATTATATTTCAGGATATTGCAATAATGTTTTTATCGTTAATTCTTTTGGCCACAATAATCACAGGTGTAGATAGTTTTTCGTATACAAGAACACCTAAAAAATGGGTACTCGAGACTTATGTGCTGGGTACGTGATGGAACAACCGTCCTACCTGAGACCAATGCACATGGACCTCATGGCTGCTCCACAGCCCGTCCCCTCTGGATTCTAGGGCACTCTGTAGCCCCCTTCCTCTCCAGGCTTCAGCTGGGAGACTCCTTTAAGGGCAAATGAGAGTAAGTCCAATCTCTGCCATGACTACAAATAAATGAGATATGATTATAAAATTTACTTTGTGTCACCCAAAATGCTTGAAGGCCCTGGTTTCCTCCCATCCATGTCTTTCATACCCTCCACATATCGAGCAGCCACCTCATGCATGAGTTCCTCCCCCGCCTTTCCTACGAGGGAGACAACGCAGAGCCAACTTGTTCAAACTGCAAAATGTTGTCCTTATTAACTTTTTAAAGATGAAAGGGGCCTGCTACCAAGAATGGCTGTTTGCCTTATCACAGCAAAGGTCAAGTTGAATTTCTACCATTTTCATTTTACTTGTGCAGAGCTGTAATAGAGCAGCAAATCAAGGCAAGACTGGAAATTAGATTTGACCTTTAGTTATGAGGAGGGTGTGGTGTGTGTGTCCCAGTGAGGGCTCAACAGAACACTGATTATCAAATCCAATAAATTGCTTGTTTGAAATGAAAATAGCAACAGAGGGACAGAAACTGGACAGAGAAAATAGTTTCAATATCCTTTTAACCTCACCAGTGGCCAGTCCTTCAGCCGTTGCCAGATGCAGAACTGTGTCGTCGCTCACCGGCCAGTCAGGGAGCTCGGCCTTGATGTTCTTCACACCACCAAGCTCTTTGAGCTCCTGCAAGGAGAGAAAGGGCAAGGGCAGCCATTTTAGGGTAACACCACCTTCAGTAGTGCTTTAGTTTTATCACAATCTTAGCCCCTCCTTTCATATTGGTCCTGCACTGACCTGATGAATAGCTGGTCCCGACTCATTGTACTCCCAGAGCTGGTTCCTGTATCCCAGAGCATCACCAACACCACTTAGCAACATGGCTGCTTTATAGTGCTCCACTGTAGCCGAGCTAATGGGACTAAAGAGAACAAACAAATGTATGTATGCCACTGAGCCATAAGGAAACTAAGCAACTCAATGGAAACTATAAAACCAGAAAATTGCAAATGTAGATGCTCTTTTTAACAGTCCAATTTTCACTGTAACAGTACTGAGGAGAAGATGTTTTATGAGTTTTTATCAAGATCATTTCTTCTGTCGGAGTAATTTCAACTGAAGCGGTGTTGCACATTTAAATGTTTATATTTGATTTGATGAAAAACACCAGTAACATCACCAGCGTTATCTTTTTCTATTGATCATAATGCAAATAAAAAACACTGTGCTAAGTGAATACTTCAAAATAATATTACAACAAATAAATGATATATAAACACACACACACACACATGCATGAAGACATCCTTTTCTGACCATTTATGTAACATTCAAACATCGACATGTCAACGAGTCATCTTAGACATTACGTTACTCTCTGGCTTGATTTGAGAATACTTTCAGTAAAATGTTGCACTTGCTGCAGGAAGTCTCCGTGCTGTGGTCAGTGGAAGTCTCACCGGTCCATTGCATAGTGTCAATGTACAGATCCACTGGTGCCTGTTCCGTGCTTTCTGAAACAGCATGGACTTTCTTGGGCTTGTATTTTGATGGCTGATACTGTGTTTTTGTCCTACACATATTAGCCAAGTGGTTGGGCTTTTTGCATTTGTTACACTGACGTCCTTTTGCGGGGCATTGCTCCGTGCGACCGTGTTCTCTTCCTGCTAACTGCATGAACAGACTGGCTAGCTGTATTAGCGGCGGGGCAACCCATAGTCTTTAGCTGCTGTTGTGATAGCTCGTGTGAGCTGCAATGTCGATCGCTTTCTCGAGCGTTAGATCTGGACCGTGACAGAGTAGTTTTTCCCGGACTCTTGGAGAGTTTGTACCGAAAACGATCCTGTCTCTAATCATCTCATCACCGTTAGGGTAGTTGCAGTCTTTTACTAGCAGCTTTAGCTCAGTCACAAACTGGTCGAAATTTTCACAATCCTTCTGTATCTTTTCGTGGAATTTATATAGCGCGAAAATGGGGTTAGCTTTGGGCGTTACAAATGCTTCAAACTTCGCATAGTACATTTGGAGTACCTTCCTCTCATCTGCCGTGAGGGTCCATGTATTATATACATCTCTGCCTTTTTCACCGATCCACAGGAGTAGATAGCTGCACTTTTATTCCTCCTCTTTAGCGCTCAGCGGGCCGGAGAACAATTAACTCCACATGCTGGCGAAACTTTCTCCATGCGTCGGGCAGGTTAGATGAATCCCAATCCACCCGTGGCGTGGGGACGCCTGTGTTCTCCATCTTCCGTCGTCAGGTCGAAGTGAAAACCAAGCTATTCTGACACCATGTAATATTCTGTTTCTACAGACATTTAAGTGTCTAAGTAAAACGAATGATACCAGTTTGTCTCATAGGGCGCGGTGGGCGTCCATCTTTGTTTGTATCGTATTTTACACTAACTGGCGCACATCAATGCCATCATCACAACGTGACGGTTCATTGAACCGGAAGTATCCAAGATACTACACCCATGCCGTTCTAGAACGCATACGTGTCATAAAGGCAAGGAAACTGTGACGTCACAGATCAAAGCACAGATCAGCATAGCTCAACCATGCCGTTCCAGAACTCATACGTGTTATAAAGGCAAGGAAACTGTGACATCACAGATCAAAACACAGAACAGCATAGCTCAGCACTCAAAGCCCACATTTTTGTTAGGAGACAAACTGTATATTTGTGGTAGTATATTTGTGTCATCTAATTTCCCCCTGGGGTTGAATAAAGTTTATATCTATCTATATCTATCTAGTAGTAGTAGTACAGACCAGTAGTTGAAATGAACGAAATAGGAGACGGATCTGAAAACGTAAATGTAAATGCAGATGATAATCATATCACACTTAACATTCACGACCCCGGATTCATCTTTCCCCCTACTCCAACAGGAGATCGAAATTATGTTGGAGTCCAGGGCTTGGCGGAATTTGTCAACAATGATGGAGTACCGGATCACGCCCACACCTATGTGTTTTATTACCCGGACATGCTTACGGCCGAAGAACAAATTGCGATCAATGAACTCCTAATCGATAACGAGGAGGAAGCCAACCAATATGATTTCAATGACAACATGAATAATATTGTCAACATTGACAACAATGACGGCATCAACAACGACAATGTAGATGACAACGATTACAATCGCAATCTTGATAACAATAACGAATATGCGGAAGTGGCTGGTCCATCCAATGAATGGGAAGAAATCAGATGGTGGGATGAGTCTGCTGAAAGCAGCACCGGCTTCGACGAGGAAACTGAAACCAGTCCAATCGAACACGCTAAAGTTCCTGAAGACGATCCTCTGCCTGGTCCATCCGAGAAATGGAAGAGAAAGACTAACAGAGTAGAAGAGGAGAGGAGCTGCAAAAAAGTCAGATGGTTAGATGAGTCTGCTGAAAGCAGCACCGACTTCAACATGGAAACTGAAACTAGTCCAATCGAACAAGCTAAAGTTCCTGAAGACGATCCTCTGCCTGGTCCATCCAACAAACGGAAGAGAATGACTAACAGAGTAGAAGAGGAGAGGAGCTGCAAAAAAGCCAGATGGTGGGATGAGTCTGCTGAAAGCAGCACCGACTTCAACATGGAAACTGAAACTAGTCCAATCGAACAAGCTAAAGTTCCTGAAGACGATCCTCTGTCTGGTCCATCCGAGAAATGGAAGAGAAAGACTAACAGAGTAGAAGAGGAGAGGAGCTGCAAAAAAGCCAGATGGTGGGATGAGTCTGCTGAAAGCAGCACCGACTTCAACATGGAAACTGAAACTAGTCCAATCGAACAAGCTAAAGTTCCTGAAGACGATCCTCTGCCTGGTCCATCCGAGAAATGGAAGAGAAAGACTAACAGAGTAGAAGAGGAGAGGAGCTGCAAAAAAGCCAGATGGTGGGATGAGTCTGCTGAAAGCAGCACCGACTTCAACATGGAAACTGAAACTAGTCCAATCGAACAAGCTAAAGTTCCTGAAGACGATCCTCTGTCTGGTCCATCCGAGAAACGGAAGAGAAAGACTAACAGAGTAGAAGATGACAGATAGTTATATGGACTGAGTGAGTCAGACAGACTCAAAATGAGGACCTTGAGGATCATTCATCTGCGGATCTTGCTGTTGTTGGGGGAAAATACTAATTTTTATAGTCATGTTTTTTTTTTTTATTCGTTTCGCAAAAGTGAATTGTACACATGTGTGTACTCTGTCGCCCCCCCTCTAGCCCCCTTTAAAGGGGGATCTCGTGTACAAGAGGAAGTTAGGATTTTATTGTCATATACATATACACATACACGAAATTTGACTTCTGCATTTGACCCATCCCTGCATATAGGGAGCAGTGGGCTGCCAATGATAGGCGCCCGGGGAGCAGTGTAGTTTCAGTGTATCTATCTGTCTGTCTGTCTATTATCTGTCTGTCTGTCTATCTATCTGTCTGTCTATTATCTGTCTGTCTGTCTAT